ATTTTTAAAAGGTACTACATCGCCTACTTCCTTACCTAGACTAATTAATTCATTAATATTATTAAATTTATCCTTAAATTTCCTAAATAAAATATTATCGCTAACAAAATCTTGAGGTACGTCTAAACATAAAGAACGATTTTCGAAAAATTGTTTTTCATCATTAATTTCCTTAACTCTATTATTTGTTATTATACTACTTTCTAGTTTATTCCTAAATACATCGTAAGAGTCTTGGGCAGTGACAAGGAAAATTCTACTAAGGGCATCTGCATTAGTATTTGAAGAGCCTTTCTTAAATTTTATATCGTAATCATACTCCTCTAGCTTGATGCGCCATCTCATCAATCTAGAGCCAGGGTCCTTTAGATTCATAAGCCAAATTAAAGGCTTATGGTCAGTTATAATATTAAACTTAACCCCATAAATATATGGACGAAAATGACGTACTGCCCAAACTATAGCCAACAACTCTTTTTCTATAGTTGAATAATTTTCTTCCGCACGATTTAGAGTTCTACTGGCAAAAGCGATAGGTAGATCTTTACCAATTTCACCTTGAGAAAGCACAGCTCCTATGGCTTTCCCAGATGCATCGGTTGTGACATTAAATATTTTTTTAAAATCGGGATACTGGAGAATGGGAGCTTGAACCAAAAGTGATTTTAATTTTTCAAAAGAATTTTGTTCATTGGAAGTCCAATGGAATTTGACATTTTTTTTTCAATAAGTCGCTGAGAGGTCTGGATAGTTTAGAAAAATTTGAAATAAAGCGACGGTAATAACTGGCAAGTCCTAAGAAAGATTTGATGTCTTTGGGTGATTTAGGTGTTGGAAAATTTGACACGCAATTAATTTTAGTAGGGTCAGGCTTGATGCCTTCTGAAGTTATAATGTGTCCAAGATAATACACCTCTTTACAAAGAAAATTACATTTAGCAGGTTGTAGCCGTAAATTATTGTTGCGCAATTTCTGTAAGACTTCTCTTAACCTCTTACAATGTTCTTCAAGAGAAGTTGAATAAATGACAATGTCATCTAAATAGACAAAACATTTAATGCCCTGCAGGCCAGTCAGCACTGAATTCATAAGACGCTGAAAGGTTGCAGGAGCATTTTTTAAACCGTATGGCATGCGACAAAATTCAAAATGATCTGATTGAGTAGAGAAAGCGGTTTTTTGCTGATCATTGGGGTTCATAGGAATTTGATGGAAACCTGAAGCAAGGTCTAAAGTAGAAAAATATTTTGAACTCCCCAACTGATCCAAGATGTCAGTGATATTGGGCAGAGGATATGAATCACCGACAGTAGCATCATTCAATTTTCTATAATCTATAACAAGTCTCCACTTAACTTCATTATTATCAGACTTTTTAGGAACAACTAATAAAGGCGCATTCCACGGACTATTGCTACGTTCTATGATTCCATCGTTCAACATTTCATTAATTTGTTTATTAATTTCGCTTTTATGTGATTCTGGAATTCTGTATGGCTTAACGTTAATAGGCGCGATCTCTGATGGAGTGTTAATATTGTGAAAAACTGAGCTGGTAAACGGAAGTGTATCTCCACTTACATAAAATATATCATTAAATTCTGTACAAATGTTCTCGAGAGCTTTTCTCTCTTCTAAATTTAAATGGGATAACTTTAAACTATCCAAAATTAATCTTAATCTATCTGATTTATTATTACTAATAAACGTTGAAGCGACTGTACATTCAGGAGTATTCAAACTTATATTATTAAAAATGTCTAATTTTTTTACATTAAAAGTAGGTAACTTTAGCTTAACCGAATGTTCATTTGAGTTTATAATATTAACAAAACAATTTGAATTAGAAGGGGAAACCAATGTGCTTGCTATAAAAACACCCCTTTGTAACTCTACTTTTTCTATTACTCCTACTGAGTCACTATTAGTACCTACTTGAACAATCGTTTCTGACCTAGGGTTTAAATCTACAGATGAGAATTTTAAAGGTAGTGTGGTATCGTTACAAAAATTTAATTTAGAATCTACTATGTTTATTGAACCACCAAAAGTTTTTAAAAAATCCATACCTAAAATTCCTTCGCTCTTAATAGGAAGATTGTCCTTAACTATATGGAAAACATGCTTAACTATTTTATTTCCTAATCTAATCCTAAATAACGCCTTGCCTAAAGTTTGTACATTTTTCCCTGATACTCCTGTTAAATTTAATTTATCTTCTAATTTATGACTTATCACTAATTCATCACTTATTAACGAAACCTTAACTAAACTAACTTCTGCTCCAGTATCAACGAGTAAATTAATCCTATCTCTAACTGTGTCTAATGATTCTATATTTACAAATGCTAAGTTGTTTGAAGTTTTTTCTATGCAAGATAGATGAGCTTGCTTTAGTTCGCTACCCTTACTAGTTCCAGGTACTGGATCCCTATCTACACTATCTTTTGTATCTTTAGCTTTTTGTTGTTCTTTAAAACTCGTTTTCTACAATCCCTAATTTGGTGACCAAACTTTTTGCAATAATTGCACATTAATTCAGGTTTTATTCTATGTGATGACGGGAATGGATTTATGGAAGGACCAGGTTTTGCATATTGAAGTCTAAATGAATTTGCTAAGGTTTCTTCCTCGATAGCGATTTCCCTAGCCTCCTTTAAAGTTTTTGCACTCTTACATTTTACTATCACTTTAAGAGAGGGTTGTAGCCCTTCTTGGAAAATATTTAATGCCTGCTAACTAGAGCTTTTGTGCTTTTTAATAGTAGCATCTACTAGTTTCATCAAAATTGATTCTAATCTTTGACCATAATCAATAACACTCTCGTTATAGCCTTGCCTACACTGATTGAATTCTACCTGAAGGGCAGAAATTGATCTACGATCTAAAAATAAGCCTTCAAGGGTAGACTTAAGGTCTTCAAAATCTGAAAATTCTTTATATTGGATAGCTTGTAACGCTCTGCCTTCGATTTTAACATGTGTGATATAATTTAATAAACTAGTCTTATCTGATTCGTCAATTTCACCAAAAGCAAAGGTACAAATTCTAATAAAAGATGAAAGTTGGCTTTGATCGCTGCCATCAAAAGATTTAATCATACCCCTAGCTTCAGCAAGTGACATACGAGCCATGTTTGGAATATTTGTATTAAGATGAATAGAAGGAAGAGAATTAAAATTTTGAGACAATTGAGGAATATGCGAAATAGTAATTCGATTGCCAAAAACTGAGTCTAAAAGATTAAGTGAATTTGGCTCACCTCCTTCCAAATGGTATTCCAGATAATTATTGAAAATAGATTCCTCTGATCTGCTAATTAATCTCTGCTGTGGTAACCTCAAATTATCAGGTGCTCTTTCACTCGACATTAAAACCTATATAATTCATAGACAGCATTAATTGAAAGTAAATATAGGGGATATTAATATAGTAAAATATGTTATAAAATAATGGGATACAATTTAACAAAATTGAAACATGAATTGAAATTAAAATATTATTGTTTGAGAATGAAAAAATGTAATTTATAATATCAAAGCCAAAATTATACAATGTTATCAAAGGATTTTCTAAAATTTGAGCATAAAAAAATAACACATTTAATTTTAGCAAAAATAAAATAAAATTCTAAACTGTAATAACTATAAAATTTAATTTCAAAAATAATATATTCTAAAATTTTCTGTTCTAAAATGTTCTGTTGATATATATATATATATTCTAAAATTTTCTGTTCTAAAATGTTCTGTAAGTATATATTCTAAAATTTTCTGTTCTAAAATGTTCTGTAAGTATATATTCTAAAATTTTCTGCTACAAAAGAAAATATTCTAAAATTTTCTGCTATAAAAAAAAAATATTCTAAAATTTTCTGTTATAAAAATGAATATTCTAAAATTTTCTGTTCTATAAGGTTAATTAAAATTTACTTATTCTAAATTTGGCATCTATAATAATCTCATAAGTTTTGGGTTTATACAACTTTAGTGGCGTCCTTTCCAAGTGTTCTTCAAGATGGCGACCTCAAAGATAGCTAAGTACTGCGACGGCGTCGTATCCCAATCGTGGCGTCGTTTTTAAGAAAACGATTTTACCGACGATTTTTTGAATCCACGTTGTATAGATCGTTTCTGAATTTGGTTATTGTACTCACAGGCCAATTTATTTTTCTTCTGACAGGATGAATCCAACTTCTGACACCAAAATGTTGTAATTGAGAAAATAAACTTCGCTAATGAGAACTCACACAGTTTCAATATATGGTTTATTACAATAAAAATCAAAACGACGATACTTCTATACAACTTGTTTGTTCTCTTTGATATAATGAGTTTATTATAAAATTAAAACGGAGAATAGTAAATTTTAATGTTTCTTCAGCAGTGGTCGGCAAGCAAGAGGGCTTATCTGTGTTTCAAATCTCTTAGCTCCCTTGGTGGTTGAAGTGGTATTAGATCCTAGCCGAGTCCCAGTGCTCGAAGAGGATTATGATCCTTTTATGCATAAAGTTGCCAGATGGTACAACATACCCGAAACAGTTCCGAAACGTGAGAATCAACCTCTTTTCGCCATATAAATTTAAGATCTTTTAGGTAACTTAGACTCCACTTAGTGCAGTTTTAGGAACGTAATTCACCTAAAAGAGCCAACATTTTCAAGTACTTTAGGTACTCAAAAGAGCCTAAACGTCAAAACTGTCAGGGTGTAGTTTGAGGTTAGGTTATTAGGATTTTAAAATTTTCCTGAAAATTTATAAAAAAGTATGGAAACTTAAATAAATAAGTAATTTAAATATATTTTATATTTATTCCTTTTTGAACAGTTATTTATACTATAATATATAAAATGAATGTAATGCAATGAATGAATGTGTTCGTTTCTACCTGTCGCAGAATTCTATACAAAAATAATATATTTATTAATACTGTTCACAAATATATCTTTTATCAATATATTAGTAATTTTATAGTTATATTCTTGTATTGTATTGTTTTATTCATCAGAAATATGTTATTATTTTTATTAACATGTACAAACGTCAACTGATTTTTCAATTCATCTCTATAAACGAAGAGGAGAATACTGCTCGTAGTAAAACAATCCAATCGTGCTTATTTCCATTTGCATTTAAAAGTTGTTCAATATATGCATTGATAGCTTCTCCTAAAAAATTGTATATATTTAGTTTTAGCTATGTAAATATCTTATAAAGAAAAACAATTTAATCCTTAATTTACCAGATTTTTCCCAGAAGTGTAGAAATGTGCCGATATATAGATCAATAGAAAGTGTTGTTGCTAGTTGTAATAAGAATGATATTGTTATCCACTGTGCACCAAAAGTCCATTTGCTTTTGAATCAATAGCAGTTACATATTAATTTTCATGTGTTTTTAAAAAATACATTTCCTTTGTTAGTGCTTTCCTACTAAATAAACAATATTCATTTAAATTATCTAGCATTTGATAAGTAAAAAGATTTACAGTTCACTTTGTGTAATTATTACACGCAAAATAATGAGACAAAGCTAATACCTTAAAACAGTTAATCGATTCATCTCGAGTGTTTGTTTGTATCATTGTATCCATCCAATGAATCAAAACACATGCACTGCATTTTAATGGTTTCCTTGATAACTATTCAAATATGAATATGTATTAAAACTGAAAGTACATTATTGTTATAAGATTAAATTTATTTTCATCTGGAGTACTAAAGAAATTGCTTCAAAATGCCCTTCAAGATGTCTTCGAGAACTCTCTTCACGCCTTCATTAGCCTTTTTATTATATATAGTAACTAATTGCTTCTTTTTTTGTTTGTAAATAATTAGTGCCTACTACGTCCTCTAAAAAAATTGTTTGTAGGAACATCTCGCTAATTCTTCATTCCTCACCGCTTTGGTGAAATAATACTAATAACACCAATCACCTAAAATTCAATATTTTCTCTTAAAGATAACTATATTTCACTTTATTTAATAAGTAAGAATATATGTACTTACATAGCGCTAATAGCTTTCAGATTAATTTGGTATCCTGAGGCAATATATTCGAAGATCGGGGCCTGTAAATTAATCCACAACACTAACACCACACTTCATTGTCTTTGGCACTTTTATAAATAAATACGATTGAATAATTATAACATTAATTAATAATTAAAACAGAAAACGCGCGCAAATAATAAACTCGACTACATTTTAAGGTTACGGCGTCTTTCGCGTCTATCCTAGAGGCAAAATAACAATAGCGGCAATTCTCGGAAATTCGCTTCACTCGGTAGATTACGACACCCTTCGCACGACGTTCGGCATTGTGTTTGTTGAGAATAAGATCACAACTTCTGTTCGAAAGGGCCTGAGATCCTGAATGTGAACTTATTAAGAGGTTTAGGTATTAAATAGTAGTTTTTAAGATGCTTAGGTACTTAATTAGGGTTTATTTTTTGACTCGATATTTATATGTGTTATATGTATTACTTTAATTATAAATTTAATATTATATATATGTATATCATATACACGTATATAATATTAAATTTAATATACAGTATATGTTACATATAAGGTTGTCAAATATCTCCCTTCCGCCTTTTTGTATTATAAACCAAGAGCAAAAAAGCGGAAGGGAGATATTTGACAACCTAATATAATGAAGGGTTTTCAGATGGTGAAAGATACATTAAAATGATTTAAAGCATTCATCCAATAATAAAAAATATATATTTACTGTTTTGTCATTATGTATTAATTAATGTTATATATTTATCTTTTATATTTTCCTTATTATTTTTAACATCAATGACTTATTTGCAGTTTTAAAACATTTTACAAGCTCATGCTTCTTTTGGGTTATGATAAGACATTTACAATTTCTACAACATTTCAACACATATGGTGTTAAATAATCAAATATATATATATATATATATATATATATATATATATATATATATTATAATTATTATCATTTAATATATTTTTAGAAGGCAGCTGTTGTGTTCACATAATTGAATTCTTTGTGGCTCTGCGCTTTTTTTGTGGATTATTATGCCAAGCCTCAAGCTTTTTAATGTCAGCACATTAATTGATAGAATGTTTTATTAAAACAAAAATTTGAAGATTTATATCAAAATTACAATCAGATGGTAAAAGGTATATTGGATTATAATGCTTTTTTCATTTATCTCTAATTATATGCTTAAGGGGCACAACTAGCGTGAAATTTTCAAAAAATCGAATTTTCAATTTTTCCATATTTTGATAGGTTATACATTTAAAAATAACATACCGAAATTTTAAATCGATATCTTAAATAGTTTTTGAGTTACAGCCATTTAAAGAGTATATATATAGTATATAGTATAACGATCATTTTATCTTTAAACGCGTTTTTCTCGAAACAGCATTTTCCGAATTTGCTGCAGCGATTACTCAAAAACAAATGATCCGATCACTATCGATTTTTTTTACATGTTCTATATATAGTTCTCCGTAAAATGAACTATCGATTTTTTGATCGGATCAAAAATCGAATTTTGGCAGTCCAAAAACGACCAAAATTTTGGGTAAAATTCGACTTTTTTTTAAAACACGCCGTCATTTTGTCAATTTTTGATTTTTTTTCTTCATCGTAGTACATTTTACAGAAAATATCATCTAGTTTAACAAGCATTTTTCTTTTTTAAATTTCATCCACGTAGAAGGCCGGAATCACTGCAGCAGTGAAGGCCCTTTTTTTTAGTCGCGCCGCTGGAGATCGACGATAACTTAAAAAATATTCAATTTTTTTCTTCAAATTTTGATTAAACTATGTATTCTCAAAACATGTATAAATATATTCCCAAAATTTTGAAATGATTGATAAAGTAGTTTTTTAAATATAACTTCCCAAAAATAACCTTTTTTTTAGGCGGTTACACTAGTTGTGCCCCTTAAATATGAATGTATGCATTACATTTGTTACATGAACTTTGTCCTGCAGATTTGAATACAAATTAAAATGTATTTAATAGCAAAAATTATTGTACAATGTACAATTGGTAATTTTGAATAAGCCCTTATGATGTGATGATGAATCTCTTGTCTAGTGTGTTCTATGAGCAACAAATATACCAAAAGGAGATAAATATAGTCACTGAGCACTGTATTGAAAGTCAATCTAGACGATGAATAGATGAATGTTTATGTAAATTTTTATTTCTGTTATATCTTGTAATTTTATATAATTTATTATTATTACAGTGATTCATACAATTAATATTAACCCTTATACAACTGTTCACAATATGATTGCGAGTTGAGGATTCTTAAGCTGAGCCATTGTACTAGGTGGCTTCAGCTGCAATATTTCACAACATAAATATTTTTGTCACGAAGAAGTATTTGTTAATACGGTGAGTAAATCTAATAAATCTGACATACTTACAGCATCGTTTCTTAACAATGTAACACAGTAGTCTAGTGTATGCTTAATAACATATTGTCTTAATGTCATTAATGATTTTAAATTAATCATTTAAACAATACGGTTTTATTATTAACATAGGGTGCTGTGTAGTTGTGAAAATAACCGCAAGGACATAGTCACTGTGAATACTGGCACAGTTTTATATTTCTATAATCAAGGATTTAGGAGCATTTTTACAACAATAACAGAAAACAGATTCAAATGTTTTTAGCATAATGTCAACAAAAGCAGCTAGCAAGTTTATTGTTTAAATATGCCAGCACATTGAAACTACTTTGATTGAAGCGATTTGGGTATCAATGATTCTTTTATATTAAATTAATTTTGCATTGTTTATTGATTATTTGTATGTTAATGAATAGTCACACTTAAAATATAAATAAGATAATTTATCATGATATGTGTTTTGTGCATTATTTATATGAATTTTATAATCAAATGTAATTAATTTAATTTTAGTTGAGTGTTGCAATACAATTACATTATTATACTTATAACGGCAATGGATCAGTTAACAATTGTGGTACGATAAAAGATAAGTATAATTTTTTTTTTACTTGTATTATATACCTTATTATTTTGGATAATATTTAATAATAGATTTTTTTGTAAATTTAATTACATCTAATTGAACATATATAGTTTAATTGGGATTCTTTATATATACAAACAGTCATATTCTAAATTTAGCTTGCTTTAAATTATTTTAAATGATAATTATAGATATAGCTCTCAGAATTCATTGATAAGAACATAAATTTAATTGTTTTTAACTTCATTTTTTATTAATTGAATACTTAATTTGTCATAAATATGTAAAAATATGAAGTTCTAACAAATTGTTCGTTATTCAGGCAATAAAAATGTAATTGTAATTATTTATTTACTTTTTTTATAAGAAATACACTGCATACTAATATTTTTAATTGTTGTAAATGCACATTTATATACTACTTGAAATGCTTACACTGCATACTATTATTTTTAATTATTTTAAGGTAATTTACTTTTATATACTACTTATTCATATTATGTTAACTATAGTTAACATATACCTAGCACCTAGTTATAATATGTTGTATACTTATATGCTTATTATATGTAGTTTTAAACACCAAATTTGGGTCAGGAAAATGTTAAATGTAGTATATGATTTAATAGTATAATTAGTTTTACTTATAAAAGTGATCGAATTATAAAAATGCATTAAAGTTTAGGACATTTAAAAGCGTCTTTAGTGTAAACGAAAACCTTTTTAATTTTTAAAATAAATAGTAGAAAATTGTATCATTTGAATAAAAATTTGAATTTTTATTGACTCATACTAATACATCTTTTCGGTGTTGTTAGTGGTACGTGTTATTATAGATAGATGGCGATATGAATTGTTTACTTCGAGCCCTTGACAGTTAATCTGACAGCTAAGGTACAGTGTCAAATGGTTATTTAAATCCATTAATAATATGGCTTTTTTAGTACGAGAATTGTTGAAATGACTTCTATTTGATTTAAATTAATAATATGGTCTTTTATAGTACTAGAATTGTCGAAATGACATCTATTTAATTTAAATTCATTTTTAAATTAATAATATGGCTTTTTCTAGTACTAGAATTGTTGATATGACTTTTATTTGATTTAGATTTATTTGTAAATTAATATAACATGGCATTTCCTAGTTCTAGAATTGTGGACAAAATTATTCCTTGTTAAATACGCTTAAAAAAAACCGCGCTTTTTGCGTACTGTCAGCACGAAGGGTATTCGAAATGTATGTTGGTGACACGTGCGTATAGTTAGCAGCACAAGTACCTAGCAGCAAAATAATTTCAAGGTCATTTGTTTAAAATTTAATTTTACTGTATAAAATGTTAAAATATTGCTATAAAGTCAATTAAATCTTAATGTTTTAGGCTTTTCTAGTTTTTTTTGACATAAATATCTTATCTGACAGCATTATTTTCCATTGTTACCAACATCCCACAGTCGGTGCTGGCGATTCTGCTGTTGATAATGCAAATAAAATTACATATATTACACAAGTGCTCCTCAATTATCAACTCAATTAATAAAATTGTGAGAATAATAAAAAATGTGAAGCAAAAATATAGTGTTTTGTGTTGATTTCAAAGAATTTACAACAAATACTTTCGCTGTGTTTGAGAGGTTATTAAGTCTGCTGCTAGAACATTTTGATAGAAATAATCCATCAAATTTTACATTTTTGATACTAATGTTTCCTTATTAACTCAATAAATATAAATGTGAAAGAAAAATATAGTGTTTCGTGTTGATTTCAAGAAATTTACAACAAATTCTTTCGCTGTGTTTGAGAGGTTAAGTCTGCTGCTAGAAGTTTTTGATAGAAATAATCCATCAAATTTTACATTTTTGATACTAATGTTTCCTTATTAACTCAATAAATATAAATGTCAAAGAAAAATATAGTGTTTCGTGTTGATTTCAAGAAATTTACAACAAATTCTTTGAGAGTTGTGTGTTTGAGAGTTTATTAAATCTGCTGCTAGAACTTTTTGATATAAATAATCCATCAAATTTTACATTTTTTGATACTAATGTTTCCTTATTAACTCAATAAATATAAATGTGAAAGAAAAATATAGTGTTTCGTGTTGATTTCAAGAAATTTACAACAAATTCTTTCGCTGTGTTTGAGAGGTTAAGTCTGCTGCTAGAACTTTTTGATATAAATAATCCATCAAATTTTACATTTTTGATACTAATGTTTCCTTATTAACTCAATAAATATAAATGTGAAAGAAAAATATAGTGTTTCGTGTTGATT